CCCCCCCCCCCCCCAATTCATCCCTGTTTGCGAGCAGAAGATCAAGAAAAGCATGGCCCCTAGTTGGCTGCTCCAGCACTTGCACCAGGAAATTGCCCCTTGCACTCTCCAAAAACTTCCTGGATTGATTGTGAGCTGCTGTATGGCCCTCCCAGTGGATGTTAGGGTGATTGAAGTCCCTTATAAGAACCAGGGCTTGTGATCTGGAAACTTCCGCTAGCTGATTGACGTGGTCTATAGCAGATGCCCACTACAACATCCCCCTTGTTGCTCTCCCCTCTTACCTTAACCCAGAGACTTTCAACAGGCCTATCTTCAGTTTCATACTATTCATATATTCTACCATCCTAACTTCAACACTAGCCAGTAGCAGATGCTCCCAAAGAAGGGAAGGAAACTCCATGTTGGGCAATGATGGATGATACAGCAGGATACAACACAGGAAGTGGTTGTAACACCCTTTGGTGTCTGGACTACACCTGGTCTACTTAGTCTCACCTGATCTTCCCTGGTTAATCCCTAACCACACCTACCACATCTTGATGGAATATTACTATGAAGTTAGGGGTATGCCCTTTTGGGACTGGGACAAGCCCTTAGGCTAATGTTTCCCAACCTTTTTCACCCCATGGCACACTTACCTAAAGCACCATGGCACACTGGGCGCAGAGCAGGGGAAGGTGCATGGCCAGCTGGACAGTGACTAGAGGAGGAGGGGTGGTGTGTGACCAGCCACATGCCGATGGGGAGGGGTAGCACGTGGCTAGCTGGATGGCATTTGGGGTTGGAGCCATGCCCCCTACCTGGCTGAAGCCATGCTCCCCATCTGTCTGTGTCCACAGCAGCAGCAGGCGGGGGCGTGGTTCCAGCCCAAAATGCCACAGCACACCTGGACGTGCCTGATGGCACTCCAGTGTGTCATAGCACACCGGCTGGGAAACCCTGCCTTAGGCCTCTATTCTACCTCGTGCTACTCCCTCTTTATCTTACACCATAGGTCCTCAACCTCCAGCCCATGAGCCAAATGCAGCCCACAGAGCCATTGCATTAGGCCCATGGGGCTCACTACAAGTTGGGAAATTTGGCAGTGGGGCGCAATGACCTTGCTTTCCTGCCAGTTATCTGATCCCTGACTGGCAGCCCTGGCACAGGGATTTCCACCATCTTTTTTCAGCCTCATCTGCCTCCAGGAAACTTTACCAAAGGCAGGCCTACATCTGGGGTCAGTTTTTCCCCCATCAGCAGCTCCTGCACTGGTTAGCAGTCTGGAGTTCAGCTGTAGTCTAGAGCTCACAACTTCAGTGCAGCCTCTGATGATGAGGCTGTGTGTCTCTCCTGTTAGCTGGGGCACAGGTACCACCATGGATAGAACCAGGATTTCAGAAACAGGGGTGCAGAAGCAGTGACTTGTACTGTAGGGGAGAGGGGGATGCTGCAGCCTGGTTTCCCGCCTCCCTCCACACGCCAGAACAGCCAGACCTGGCAGCAGAAGCAGCAGCCAGGGACTGATTTTAAGTCCCTCAAGCAGATAAGTACCTTTCCTGCCCCCTCTCTTCCCCTCCAATTTCCTCTTCCCCTGCCT